TATATATATATATACACATGTGTGGACACAGACTCCAGATGACGGGTCAGGTGAAAATTGACCGGTTCAATTTGACAGCAGCAGCTTGCCGAGGCAATTTAAAGCTCTTGGCAAATACGCTGGCCGGCCTGAGTATATCTCTGACAAACAACTGGGCTCTATGTACGAAGCAGTATGCACTTGGTGATGCATGTGTTCTGGTCGTTTGTATTTAACTGTATTTTTGAAAACTGCCCTCCTAGACTCGTAGTTGCTGCAGCTGGGATCTGAGCGGCTGCTACAAGAGGACACCGCACCTCATGAGCGGCATATCGGGAGTATCTCTGAACGCGCTCGAGTTCCAATTCTGTTTTGGGCCCCACGAAACCGTCACATGATCGACTTTCACGACCTCTATGAACAAGTGCTGTGGGAGAAAGCCTCGGGGGGCACTGATCACTTTGCGACGATGCCAAGGACTCGGCTTTCGGCTGTGACCTTGGCGGCCAGTGATCTGCTGAGGCCCCTCGTTGGAGCTGCGGGAGTTGGGAGTTCCGCGTCGTAAAGGCGACTTTGGCCTTCGAGAAGTCAAGTGTTTGCACACAAGAGATGCTTATTTGGTGTTGCAGCAGGTACGTGGCCACCGCTTCACAGGCATTCTTCGCGGCTTGCCTGGTGATGCAAGCGCTGCCTGCGCAAGCACGATATCTTCTGCCTTTCATCCCTCGCAATGCTGCATTCATAACAGGGACGGGCGCCACAAAGATCATGGGTCCCTGGATGGGGCGGCCAGCCGCCCTAGGAGGCTGGATGATGGAGCTGATGGGAATTTTAATCTCCCACAAGACGTTTCTCCTTCTCACAGCGCTCTCGGCATTTCCAACTTACCGCTTCGTTTGGCGGGCCTTGGAGCCTTCGCCAATCCCAGAAGGCGAAACTAGAGGTGCCGGCGGGCAGCTGCTCCGCGAGCTTCTTCGAAGCTGCTTGTCCGGTGCGGTGCTGGCTGGGGGAGTGCGGGCTGGTTTCGCAGCAGCTGGTCGAAGTTTGCCAGACGCCGCGCTTCTTCCAGTGCTGGCGTTCATCGCCCTGGCTGGAGTCCAGCCTGTGTGACTCGGACCTTGATTGATGAAACTCTAGGACTCTACGTTTGGATTCTGGGGATGCTCAATACCAGTAACAATAATTACAACAAAAATACTAAAAATACTAATAATACCAATAATAATCGCAATAATAATAATCATAATAATCATAATAATAAGTAATAGTAATCGTAATAGCAGTAGTAATTATAAAAACCGCCATAACAACCCCTGCAAAATGTTATACACCGAGCGCCTTGTTCGGCCTCAAGAGACCGCTTTTTCGATTCCCTCCCGCTTTCCGATGCCTCTTTGAGCCTGTTTTTATTGTTAGTATTATGATTATTACTACTATTATGCTTCTTCTTCTTATTATTATGTGTATTATGTGTATTCTGATTAATATTATTAGTATTATCATCTGTTAGTATTATTCTTCACTATTATGTTTATTACTATTAGTATTCGAATCCACAAGCAGTGCCCGAAGTGACGCGGAAAGCCCCCGGGTGGTCCGAGATGTTTTGCACCGCAGCCTCCGGAGCCAGGCAAGACTTAGCGGCACGTGCCTTTGCGGCTTTGCATCTGCGGGCCATCAAGAAGAGCCTTGGACCTTTAATGTTTAGTGTTCAGGATTACTTCATCAAAGCCCTAAGCAATACCCCGAACCCTCAACCCCATAACTTTAGGGCATAGATCCTTGGTGCGCGGGGGCAAACCCTATAAAGCCTGCGACTCGACATCCAGACGAGACCGTTCGAAGTCGCCTCTCTCACCCAGTCAGCCAAGGTCTCGTAGTCGATTCTTTTCCTGGGCTTCAGAAGATGAGGGGTGTGCTCATTGGAGGGTCGATGTAATCGGTGAGAGTCCTACCTCTACTTGCGGTCTCTCCCTCTCTCTGCACGATACACACGCACACACATCACATAACATATACAGGGTACATATACGTGTATATATATATGTTATATTATATATATATATAGCAATATCTACCTATATATATACACATATATATATATATGTATATATGTTCTTATGTGTTTATTTATACTCGCCTTATTATCTGAACCCCCTGTTCTGATCCGGTGGGTTTGGTCCGGAATGGAAAGGGGTAGTCGAGTTTGATCTTTCGGCTGGGCGCGCGGCAACAGAAGCGGAGCCGGCAATCCACCATAAAAATAGTGCAGTGTTTAGTTTAGTGGTTAGGATTTAGAAAGCATGTGACTTTCTGTATGGGGTTTTAGGACTTTGGGTATGTAGGATCGGCCCCTTCAACAGCAGCTATTTCAAGCCTAATCCACGGCCCAGCAGCTGACGCGGAAGCCTTCCCCTCCAGAACACGCACAGTTTTAAGATTCCGTCAAATGTTGCCCCTGGCCTCAGCCAAGAACCGTGTTAGTCTTGGGTGCAATGTGGCTTTGCAAACCCCCAAGACGAACAACAATGACCTTGAACAATGGGCCCTGATCTGAGCCAAAAACAACTTTCCAATGTATACTGCCCCAGGAAGCGCCTCCGGGGTATGCTTGGCGGGAAGATGGTCAATGGCAGTCTGCAGCGTGACTTCCGGAACAGTACGGCTGTTTGGGTTTTGGGGTATTGGGTTTAGGGTATTTGTTGGTGTTCGGACCTTGCGAGGTTCCTACCACTTTCAGAGTTTGGGCTTCAGCAGTTGGGCTCCGCATAAGGGCTGCGGCAATCCCACAAGGTCTTGTTTGCCATCTGCAGAGGTGGCTCGGGGCAGGTCAGGTGTGCACCCCGGAGAAATCTCGGGCATGTAGCAGTAGGGCGGAAATGCTGAATTCGAAACAGAGTTGCCCATTTCACATCCTGACACAACGCGAACCTTGTCTTCGGAAGCCTCTTTCATTTTGGTTCGTGTGGAGAGACAGGAGCGCTCCCCATGCTGATGCCCCCTGAAGCGAACAAAGAGCACAACCCCACATAACGCGAAGCCTACTTTCACAATTGCTCTGCTCTGCGGAAAGCCCCCATCTCAACATCTGGCAACCTCAGGCAGGGCTTCAGCGGTCTTGCGGCACAAGTGGCCACGAAGGAGTTGCTTGCGGGGGCGTGGGCCCAATGCACATTGTGGAGAGCACAACGGCCTAACGACTGTAAGTTTAATTAACTTTTTGGGCGAACGAACCCGGATGAGTGCGGCAGCCAAGATGAGGTAACCCTTGCAGTACCTAAACCTTATAAAGCCCTACAGTCCCCTAAATTACCAGGAAGGCCCTGAACTAAACCTTATAAGACCCTAGTTATAAGGGCTCCTTCTTTTACTAGAAACCTGTTGCAGTGCCCCTTATAGAGCCCCCTTCTTGTTCTTCAGACCCCTGAAAGTATTAGGAGGGCCCCAAACCAAACCCTTCCTTCTAAGACCCTATAAACCCTTGTTAAGGCCACTTCAAGTAACCCTTATAACTTATAAAGCCCTAATCTAGTTCTTCAGACCCTTAAAAAACGCCTCGCCTGGACTGTGCCAATGTGAGTGCCGAAACCCTGGAACAAAAAACCCTAAACCCTAACATGGACGCCGGACGCCAAATTGTGACAACTAAACATCCGCCAAAGTCTAGACAGAGCACTACAAGCACCAAAGCCATTGGAGGTGGAATTGTCTCAAACCCAATCCGAGGATGAGACAGGACGACGTGACGCATCATGCTCACGCTCGCCCTCTCGTGCCGACTAATTAAGGTGAAAGTTCAGGTCCCGCGCGGATTCCCGCGAGTGCAAGACTCGCAACACACCTTTACAAAATTTTCCCGGACGTAGTCTAGCATATCTCCGCGTACTGCTTTCCTAATCAACCGTAGAGCCAACGCCCCGCAAACATTTTTTAGCACCATACTTCGTAATTCATTCCTGCAAGCCCTTGCCGAGAGCTGATTAGTGAAGAGCCCCCGCGGTCCCATACTGGTTTTGCTTCGGGCGAGAATTCGTCCTACTTCAGCACTCCTCTAGGTACCGGAGACCCGACGAGACCACAGGCTCTTCAACTTTAACGTTGACAGCTGCTGTTTGGCTTTGCGAAGTGGAGCATGTGGTCTGCCTTGGCTCTCCCCCCGAATCTCGGTAGTCCGACCGAACTCCCTGCGGTGCGACTTTGTCAGCTGGGTGGGTGGAAAAAACCCAAAACCCTCAAAACGCCCTAAACGTAAAACAAAAGCCCCTAACCGTAAACCCCTAAAAGCCAAAAACAGAATCAACTTAAGTCCTAAACCCCTTAACCTACGATGCAGGATCTCATTCGTCCTAGCCAGGCGGGAGGCAAGAAACACCCAAAACCCCAAAACAAAACTTCCTAAACCCCTAACAAAAATCCTAAAAAGAAAATCCTAAACCTCTCCTAAGTTACCAGGAAGGAGTCCTCCAGCTGCCCGCCGCCGCCGCCCTCCGCCTCGCAAAGCGCCCGGCGCCTCGGGCGCTGGGCAGCGCCTCCTGGCTGTTTTTGGATCTCTTCGGTTCCCTTTAAGGTCCTTTTTAAGGGCTCCTTTGAGGGTTTAGGGTTCCGATTCCCATTCAAGTCCCTTTTCAGGGCTCCTTTGAGGGTTCCTTTAAGGGTTCCTGAAAAGGGTTCCGTTTAAAGGGTTTTAGGGTTTAGAATTGGCTGCTCTTGGATCTTTTTTGGGGTTCCCTTTAAAAGGGTTTAGGGTTAGCTGCTTTTGGATCTTTTTGGTTCCCTTCAAGGGGTTTAGGATTTTTCATGAGCGGGAGTCTGCTCTAGTCATGTTTACCATGTTGTGGAGTCCCTGGCTCCTGCAGCTATGCCTCAGCAGTGACGTACATGATGTCTTCGGTGGGGTTTGTTCGCCTTACACCCCTTCACCTGGCAGCAACATCGTCGTACTTTTACTCTGCAAGGACGTTGATGCGCGCCAATATTCTATCCTTGAGGAGATGGTGCAGTGATTGCAGCTTTTTTTGCCGTTCTTTACCTTCAGGGGATCTTCAGCCAAGCTTCAGTCCGTTGTCATCCGCAGCTTTTCCTGTGCGCTCTTGCCTTAAGAGGGGGTGAGGGTTGCGTAGGCGCTGGCAGGCACCTCAGTCCATGCTGAAGAGGGTTAGTTGCTTTAGGATCTGTTTGGGTTCCTTGTACAGGGTTCTGTGAGGATGCTCTACGGATTTATCCTTTTAAGAGTTCAAAAGGAAGCTATTTTGGCTGCTTTGGGTGCCTTGCAAGGTTCTAGCAGATTCTAGCAGAATGAGGGTGCTATGAGCGTTTAGGGTTTTTTCCAGGACCGGTTTGGACGAATCTAAGTTCTCGAGGGTGTAACTTTTCGGGTTCGGGGTGTCGACCAGAGACCCCACACCCCACGGGACAATGCTAAGGGCTCCACTGACATCCTGCCGGAAAAAAAAGCGCGGTTTTTAGAGCCGAAGCCACCTCAACAACGATTATCCTTAACCACAAGCCTCCTATTCTATACCCTCATCTTTATATAGAAGCCCTTAAATACACCCGAAAAGCCACCTCTACCGATACCCTCATCTCTATACATAAGCCCTTAAATACACCCCAAAAAGCCCCAAAACCCGAGCAAAACAAAAAAAAGCACTTGGAGACCCTAAACCCTAATCTATGCGAGAGGGAAAAAAAACCCTAGAGCAAAGAAAACTCCCTTTGAAGACCCCCAGGTGGAGGTCCCAGTCAACGGGGTCGCCAAAGGCATCGAAGCCGCGGAAGATGCGCTCTCCTCGGGAAGCCGGAAGACTCTGAGCAAACTCGGGGAGCCTTTTTGGGGTTTCCGGGTTTAGGGCTTTAGGGTTTAGGGCTTTAGGGTTTAGCGTTAGGGTTCCCGGTAGAGTCGCTGCAGACCGGATGCAAAAAAGGGTTTAGGGTTCAGGCCGGGTTCAGGGCTTTTGGGAACATGCTAGTTGGAAGAATGCCGGCCTCTGAAAGATCAGCCTAGGCAACCCGAAGGAAGAAGATGGCTCATTGTTTCAGACCCTTGTAAGTTGGGGTTTCGTGCTGGGAAGCCTGCATTAAGGAAGAAGCTGCTGGCCATTCCGCTCCTGCTTGCCTTCGGTACGCTGCTGTGGAAAGTGCCCAGTGCTGGTTCTTTCGCGTATGGCCTCGGCGTGAGCATGCAGCTTTGAGGAAAGTCAGTTTCGGCTTTAAAGCTTATGGTTTTAGTTTTTGGGGTTTGGCTCGAGGCCGCAAGGTATGGAGCAACCCCAGGGCCTGTGCACGTGGTTTCGTAAACCCTAAACCATGCGAGTGTTCAGGTGTCTTGCTGCTTGGCCTCCGAGCTCTCAACCTCTCACGACTTCTGCAAAGCATCCGCCGTCCCACAGTCATACTGATAGTTATACGATATACGATAAGTATGAATATGATATGTAGTTTATCACATTTCATTTCTTTGTTTTACGTTATGGCAGATGACATTATACTCTGCTATATTATATAGTGTTATGTTATATTACATTACATTGAACTAGGCTATGCTTTATATGGCCTGAGGCCTTAGATTCCTTGGATGCATGGCTCCGGCTGCAGCAATCTTCCTGGTGTCTGTTCGCCCAGTATCAGTCTGCTCCCTCCATATGGGTGCTTGTTCTTTCAGGATAGTAGTTATACCTCCTGCACATTGCTTTAACGGGCCTTCGCTGCGTTTATTGCAGCATCGTTTTTGTTGCATTTTTAGAGCTGTGATGAAGCTGCTGCAGTTGTAGTCGGGGTCGTAGTTGTAGCGGTAGGGGTAGTGGTAGTAGCTATTCTGTGTTACATAATCTGTAGCAGAGCACTTAATATACTCTTTTGATTTTGATTCTCTTGCAAACACCTCTGGCTTTGCGGGTCATTGAACATAATGAAGGCATGTACTTCTCATATGAGGAAACGAGCGCGCGTCAGAGGCTTTAATTTAAGTTCCAACAAAACAGCCGGTGATCTTGCACCTTGCTCACAGACTCCCTGCAAAAAGCACAGGCACACATGAGAGTCATAAATATGGCGACGAGTCGCACATAGATCGCTGAGGTACTTGAGCGCTTTCGTCTTGCCCCCACCCTTGATCGTGATCCTCGCCCTTGTCATCCTCATCTTCGGAGGCCGACTCAAAGTGTCTTTGGAAAGCTCAAGTCAGGCTCTGAAGGGACCTAAAGGGACCTCTGTCCCAATGCGTATGAACTCCGCGCGTCAACCTTAGCCTCCAGCCCTACCCTACAGGCAGTTTTCATCCAAGAAATCCAAGCACCACAGCACGGAGCCAAATTCCTAAGTCACTTTCGGACGTCTCCAACATCTTAAACTCGAAGCCTTAGCCCGGAGGCAACAAAGAAACGTTCCACAGGCCCTGCACCGTCGCTGAGCTCCAAAGGCTTTGCGCTTGGCTTGGGCTTGAGTGCCTTGGCAAGGGCTCTGTTCTTCGAGTTTTCGGGTTTTGGGCTTTCTGGTTTGGTAGACAACAGGGCGTTTTCCGAGCGAGGACTTTCGGCAGTAACGTTTACAGCGCGGTGTCGGGTTTAGGGAAGTTTTAGGGTTCCCTTACAGCAGAACAGGAAACCTGTTTGAGAAGCCATGGGTCCGGGAAGCTTCGGACAGGCTTGGCATCACTTTGCGACATGATTGCTATTGTGAATAGCAGCAGCATTCCTGAGATGTTAGAAAGGGTTGAGACGGTTTGCTTTCGAAAGCTCCTGAGCACGTCGGCGCTTGGCTTACTTAGCCACCGGGAGAACTGGGTTTGGGGTTTGAGGGTTTAGGGTTTAGTACATTCTTGGGACTCATATCTTTGGACTGTTTGGGATGGGAGCTTTCGGGAGCTTGGATTCCACATTGTGGACGAGGGGTGGTTGCTGTAATCATCATCCGACCCCGGATCGAGCACTGGTAGTCGAACTGCAGACTCCGCCCTCGGGCGATCCCGAGCGCTGAACTCGCACATCGATGCCGCAAGTTGCCCTTTCGAGTCCTAGTCCTTTAGCTGTGGACCTCTGTCTCCGTTACACCAGCAGCCGGAAGGGGGCCGGGTCCAAAGGCGCACTGAAGCAGCTCCTCGCTGGTCGGGCCCAGCCGTCGCTTGTCACCTGCGACGGGCTCAACCTCGAAAAGGCAGGGCAAAAGTTGTTTGCTCAGGCGTGACAGGAAGTCAACACCCGAGGAAGTAAGCCAAACTCAGACCCCGGCTGGCACTGTTGAACTTAAATTAAACTCAACCCATGTCATTCAGAGAAGCTCACCGAAAGAAACAACAAGTCAGTCTTTGCTCAGAACGACTAAATGACCCCAGTGCTTGTCAGGGAGAAGCAACAATTGCATGGCGGACGACGTCAGCCGTGGCTGCAGAAGAGGCTGTCCAAGCAGTCACTACACAGCTCGGGCCCGTGCCGCCCTGCTTTACCTAGAGCTTGCAGCTGCCGTATTTTCCAACTGAATCATGGCACAAGATGCGATAAGGAAGCAGCAGGTGGAGGAAGGGGGTTCCTCAACCTGCCAGGCGCAGAACATGCCGGAAACAGAAGCCCAGACGTGCTACCATCGCTCCGTGCCCCGAAGCTCAGAATCCCGAACATGATTAACACCAAGACGAGGCTCCTTTAAAACTTAAATACACCTCAAGCCTTGCAGCCCGGTCTTTGTGGGAACTACGGTCCGCTCCAGCTTCGGGAGTTTCAAGTTTTGGATGCAGTTGTTTTAAGGTTTGTTAACAGGAAGTACTGTAGCAGTGAAACTACAGGGCTACTACTTGAGCGCCCTACTCTTCTCGGGTCCATTTTAGGTTACCTTCGGTTTCTGCAACTTCCGCATACCTTCAATCCCTATACCTACACCTTGCACCAAGCGCTACCTTGGACTCTAAGCAACGATGAGTCGCAGCGGAAGGTGGCGCAGCAAGTGAGGGATGCAGCAGCAGGGGACCAGGACCCGTCTTCGGCGTCTTTGGGCGGGCTCTGTGTTTAGAATAATAGAGGTAGAAGTACTCATTAGTAGTTGCGCAATGGCAAAGTGTTAAGAGTACTCATGATACGAAGGTTGTTGCTATGGAAATAGTGTATGGGATCGAGGATGACCGCGGTTTGTGCGTTATCGGCATCGGGCCTCGGAATGATGGTTCATGAACCTCGGTGCTGGCCTGTGACACGTGTTTCGGCATTGTTCATGGCTTGTGTTATCAAGATACCCCTGACACGAGTGCGTTTATCTTCAAGTCAAGTACTTCATCATTGATGGTACATACCCCGCAGCCGGCCCTGATCCCAACGAAGAACTCCAAACTCGCAAGTCCAGGATGGCGAAAGCCTGAAGAAGCTGGGAAAGAAGTTGCGCATCAAAGCCGTTGCCTTGAGCATGGCGCTCAGTAGCAAGTCCGAGTGCCGTGAATTTTCCGAGCCTTTTACCTGCTCGTGTTTCGGATCTTATGACTCGGAAATTATTCTGGAAGTGTAGACTTTAATTGCTTGGGTTCTTGCGGGAGCTAGCGGTGTGGGATTTAGCGCTTCAGGCTTGCGAGGTTGAGGCTTGAGGATTTGGGGCTTGGAGCTGGCTACCAAAGAGCTTCTTTACGAGGGGTTGGACTGTTTGGCTTCAGGCACATAACCGCAGAGCTCAGGGGAAGACCATTCTAATACATCCGGTTGCTAGAGAGCCCTGAGCCTTGAACAGCCCGCTGCGTCAGAAGAAAGTGGAGCCCTGCCATCTCACGACTTATGGAAAGTTCCCACCCAAACCCTGAAAAAAAAACCATGATGCCGCCCTCAACACTCCGTGGTCCGATAAAGTCCTCTGCTGAGGTGTGGTGGCAGCTCTTCTCATCCTTGTGATGTGCAGGTGGTGGAGCTGAGAGGTTTGTCAATGATGCTCGTTTCAGGAGACCAAGGAGTGCCTGAGACTTGTTTCATGGCCCCGCACCAGCCAACCAAGCATTCATTCTTCAGGTGGCCAAGTTTGGTGGAGTGGGTCGAGCACAATGCCCCTACCTCAGGCCACCGTGGCTCGGCTGCCACGATGACTGCTAGGGCCGCTAGGGTTCATGGCGCTGAAATGTGGCATGGTACAATATGGCATGATACAACCTGACAAGAGACACGTTGTCTAATTTCATATGCGCACAACTACACACCACTACATATATGTCCGGTATTGTCCGGTTAAAGGCCTAAAACTCTCGAAGCCGAAACGCCCAAGTCCCGACCCCGAACCATCTGATGCGTCCTGACGCGAAGCCGAATCACAGAAGCCAAGGCTTGCTGATCCTGGGAATGTCTTCTGGCACCTTGGTCTGCAGCCAGACGCTTCGAAATGCTTCCTTGAACCCCTGCGCTGCGCAAGCTGGCCCGAATTTCGAATCCGCCCAGATTTATGACGCCACCCGGAGGCGATCTGCATTGCTAAAGTCTTGGATGTTCACGGGAAAAGGTCGCAAAGGACAGTCAAAGGACAACTGTGCAAGCACGTGGCGAGGCATTGCACTGCGGCTGATGAACTTCGAAGTTCTTCAGCAAGGGGCACGTCGGGAGCCTCGCCACCAATTTGTGCCAGCAAGCTGTGTGGGACCTGGGGGCTGAGGGGTTTAAGGCTTAGACCCAGGGGTGTCCAGAATTCTTTGTGGCTTTTGTCGGTCCGAGCATGGAAGACCTCAGTTGCGGCACTGCTGCTGCTGCTGTTGCTGCTGCTGCTGCTGCTGCTGTTGTAACTGTGTTTGCTTGTCTCTTTTCTTTGTTGTCGTGGTCTTTGCTCTGCCAGGTATTCACTTGTTATTCAACAGTGCGAGAAATCGCACATGCTTGAGCACGTTCCCGTGTGTTGTGCTGCCATACAAGATGATGCAAGTTTTTATGGATGCTATGAGAACATGCTGCTGACAGAGCCGATGCTTGTGCATGTAGCAGCGCGGGCTTTGGGGCGTGCAGGGGCTCTTGTGCGTGTGCACGAGTGTGTCGTCGTATATTGGTACCAGCTGGCACATCTTCGTTACTCTGGCATGCCTCTTAAGCGCGCATTGCCTGCCTTGCCCGAGTGTGAGAGTCGGAGTGGTCATGTTCAATAGATTCAATAGATTTCAATAGGACGAAGTCATTCATCATTGATGTTTAGCAGCTAAGCGTGTGCTGGGCACTGCTTTTGCAGGCAAAGCCCCATGAATGCAAACCGAGGGAGATGCTTTGCATTCTGCACTCTTGCTTTTTCGATATCTATTATGCTTTCCAAATCTGTTTTTCTCCAAACTTGGACTGACCTGCGTAATTTACCGGAATCTGCAAAGAGTCCTGGTTGCGGGGGCAAGCCTTGTAACATGTCCTTTGGTGGATATACTTCACAAGGGCAAGGCTGATGCGGAAGCCCGAACCTGAAAAGCTTCGTGTCCCACACCCAGCTAGCAGCCCAACACGGGATCTGACGTACCTCCAGTGCCCGTGAGAAGAAGAAGAAGATTGTGCTGAACGATGCTACGAGATGCCATGGTTTCTTGCAGTATATCATCAGATGCTACGGGGTTGAATTTCACGGCCCCTAAGGTGCTGCCCGCTCGTCTGGCAGGGGCCAGTGGAGGGCCTGGCAAGGCTGCCGGAGTCCCAGCCTTTGCAATCAGTGTTGCCGCTGCTACTGCCTGCTCCTGCTTCTGCTGCTACTACTACTACGACGACGACGACTACTACTACTACTACGACTACTACTACTGCGACTACTACTACTACGACGACGACGACGACTACTACTACTGCTATTGTTACTGATACTGCCACTGCTACTGCTATCGCTACTATTACCACTACTAGGATACTTCCCCGCTACTGCCGCTAGTTTTCTGCTGCCTCCACTGCTTCAGGTGCTGCTGCGGCTCTACTGCTACTGCTGCTAGCACTGCTCGACTCCGGGCACCGCTGGCACAATAGCATCGCCCTCTCTGAAATCGGGCGTGATTAGTAGATGATGTTCTGCCTTCATCGTGACATAGCCGAGGGTATTGCCAGGAAAATCCTGGGCTATGCTTGTTAAGCTCCGGCTTTCTGCGATTGGCTCTCATGTTCTATCGTCTTCCAGCTACCTCTTCCCTCTCATTGCACACCAGAATGATTGTCACAGCCATCCTTACTTTCTTCGTATGATGATGGTTACGGGCACGTTAAGCCGACAACCCGCTAAACCCTAAACCCTAGGTAATGACCTAAATCGGTAGGAGAAGCTTCCATGTCCGAGGCCCATTGGTTCCTGGCCGTCAACACGAGAGCATCCGCAGTTTCAGCTGCAACTGCATTCTTCATACCCATGGTAGGCATCGTGTGTCTAGGCTGCAATCAGACTTTCAGAGGATTGCTTGGCGAACCACAGTTTCTTGCGACTCAGACATAGAAAGCCAAGGCAAAAGATCGCATATCACCTGGAACTGAAGAAGGAGGCCAGCACCAGCCCTGCTTCGGTGAAGCTTCTGCGTAACTGTCCTCAGTTCGTTCTTACAATACTTCTGATCGGAGACTATCGCTCTTCAATGTTGTGTGATGTTGCCGTGTTCAGCAGATCTTGCTCCCCCAACTTGCACGAGGAAGTGAACACTTTGAGGCACCGTTGGAGTCTGCGCTCAGTGTGCCAACGGCAGAGATGCGGCGCTGCACCTTTCCGAGTTGTCATGGTTTGTGTCCTCCTCTGCTCTCACACTGCTCTTTTCCTGAGTGGTTAAGGGTTTATCTCCCTGTTCCCCTGCTGTTCTCTAGTGTTGGCCCTAGACTGGCGACCCTGTGCCTCCTGCTTGGGCCAAGCCTGGTGCGAAAAGCGTTTTAGTCTTAGACTGCGACAGGTCGCCTGGGTGGATGCCTGGGCTCTCCAAATCTCCACGGCCTTCGTCTTCCTCGTGCTTAGTGTGCAGGCTGCGAGAGTTCTCAGCCGCAGCCTGCCAACAGCCAGCAGCCCAGCCGCTGGCCTCGCCCTGGCGTGTGTGCGGGCATGGATCGTTGGAGCAGCCAGCACCGCGATGCTAGACTTGTCAGTTCCTCCCGGCTGGGAATTTTGGAGCTACCTCAAAGACTAAGCCCTAATCTCCCAGGACTCCTACCTAAGCTCCTAAACGCTGAACCCTAAGCCCTAACGTCGCCCAAAACCCTATTCTAATTCTTAAGGCCCCGGAACCTCTAGCCGCCGCCCGCTCACACCGAGGATCTACGGGACGATTCTCTTGGCCGTGGGAGCACCCGGGCCCATGAGCCCTGGGTTGCTGCTTGTCTTAGGGTTTAGGGTTTTAGGGGCCGGGCGAGCTCAGTTCAAGCCTTTGGAACAGGGTTTAGGGGTTCAGGGCTTTAGGGGTTTAGAGCTTTAGGGGTTTGGGGTTTAGGGCTTTAGGGGTTTAGGG